GTAACGAAACATTCAATTAGAGAGAGCAAGAGCAATTTTTGGGAAAAAAAAAATACCTGGTACAGTTGAACTGGAAATGTAGGCAAGCATCCATCCCAAACCCAGCCTCTTAGAACAAGCAGCAGAGATGGGAAAAAAAGAAAGAGAAGAGCAGTCCTATCCTGCTTGAAAGAGATCACTGTGAGGGCACCTCAAGCTAAAATAACATAGAATTTTACCAAAAGAAAACAATCCAGTTTGACAATATCATATACTAGGGTAGAACAAAGGAACAAATCCTGACTAAGAATCTGAAAAGAAATTCCCGATAGCACATAAGAATGTCAAGATCCCCCAAGTTGAGAAAAATATCATGTAGTAATTACTAAAGAAAAGATTACAAACACCAAGAAGTTGCTCGACCCTTAGCTACATCCACTCACTCACACCACTCAGTAAAGTTCCTGGTCATTATAATCGCATTCACCTACAATGGTTTTCTTTTGCCTCTAGACTTGATTCTCCGTATAAGTTGAACAAAATTACTTTTAGTGCTGATGTCCAGCACCCATGAGATGTTGAATTTTTTAATAAGACCTGCCAACATTTTTAAGTTTGATAGGTGTCCTTTAATGATTTGTCTTGATAAAAGTTGGTCTGGTTACCAAAATAAGAGATCGATAATGTAGTGTTTGAAGTTGACAGGAGGAAAGTTATAGTTGTTAGTTTGTAATCAGACCCTACGTCAATGAACTCTTGGATTAGTTTTTTTTTTTTTTCAAATGAGAAACTAGCCTTCATTATGACAGATAAACTTACAAAAACAGAAAGCCATGAAAAAAATGTCAAAAAATGAAGCCAACAAAAACACCCTTAAGAGGTTACAACTATTAGGATCAATAATATCAAAAAATTACAAAATATTTTTGTAGAGATACCCAAAGGGAGGCCTTCAACTAAGACACTTCTTTTCTTTTCTTTCTTTTCTTTTTTTTTTTTTCCCCTTACAAGAAACAACTTTTCGATGATGTATGAAAAGGAATTAAAAAGTTCAAGGATACAAGTTCCCAGTGGAAACAAAAAAAGATGATACGAGATGAAATAAGCCTAAAAATACAAGAGGATAAAACAAAAATTCTCCTATTTCTCTCTTACACAAGGGGAGGCATTCAACTGACACTTTTTGCAAACATCCTTCGAAGCCCCCTTTTCAACCTAAAAAAATGCTCCTATTTTTCTCTAAGCAAAGAATGCTGCCTGCCAAAGAATCACCCTTCATTACTAAATGGTGGGTGAGGAAGCAACACCTCCATCAAACGAAAAGGAATAACTCCTCTATCACCTACTACTAGATGAGTTGATTCACCTAAATGTCTTGTCTTTACTGCAAAGGGAGCTATTCCATGTATTGCTGAACAAAATTTTTCATGAATTTGTTTATCTTAAAATCATTTTTGTGGCTAAATAGAGAATTTGATAACCTAATATTTTCTCCTCGCCTATAATGCTTATTCTAGTAAACAAGGATTTTTTTTTTTTTTTTCTTTCAGCAGTACCTCAATATAACCCGATTGGTGTCAACCTAAGACTAAATATCTCCAGACTTCTACAAGATTTTTGAAGTGAGATCATCCTCGGGATTTAATCTTCCATTGCAGCAAATAAAATGTAAGACTGGCTAAGCAGAAAAACATGTAAGAGATTTTAGGAACAAGTTCTAAAAGGATCGACAATCCAAAATAGTAAGTCACCAAAATTTGATAAAACAATCTCCAAGAAACATAATAAGCAACGTCAAAAAGTCTGAACATTATGGATTAGAAAGGAATCTCCAGAACTTGGAGTCACAAAAAAGGGACCAAGGCATACAAAAAACTTTTTTTTTTTTTTTTTTTTTTTTTGTAAGAGTCAATTTCATTGATGTTTGAAATCAAAAGGGATTAAGGCATACAAAAAAGAAGCCGAAGAAATTTCATAAGAACTTTCAATCCAAAAGAACAAGATCAAGATCACAACTACAAAAAGACCCAGTCAACGAGGTTCAAAAGGAGGCACTAGCCGCCTCCCACACCTCATCCCCCAATCTCTCTACCTCTCTAAAAACTCTATGGTTCATTTCCAACCAAATACCTTACAAGACAACAAAGAAGCTTGCTTGACACATGATTTAATGACTCCTTTCGCAGAGAGTTTAGAGGGCACCTATTCTTCTCTTACTGTAAATTTTATTCTATTAATGAAATTTTGCAACTAACATAAAATGGATACGCCAGACAAGGGGTAAAATTAACAAATCAGGTCCATCTGAAGCTTCATCATGCAAATGCATTGAAGAAAGAATGTTTCAATCAGCTGTTGATGGCTGTTGATGGCTGTTGATCCTCAAAAGGTCGACTACCAAATACAGATGTTTCAAGTAAAATACAAAAGCGAGCAAGAAAATAACTCTTATAACAAAGCACGAATTTCTAAGAGTTGGAGGTATTCCATAGCTGTAATAGTTGTGAGCAGTATCGTCAAGGTGCAAATTACAACATGCAACAAGGGGTAGCCTCTACGACTAAAGGGAAAAGATGTGGAATTGTTCAATACAAATAGTAATAGAAATTCGTACTCTGTAACTGTTATACTCCTCTTTAACTTTAAACTGAACATCTTTCCGTGAGGCACGCACATTAATAGGTCCCAGAAACATCTGCAAGAACTTACCTGCCATCAAATTACATACTCAGACAGTAAATGCAGGAAGAAGCAAACGGACGCTAATCCTGATATTGTCCTTTCATTTCCTAATCCCATGGTTCCCTTTAAAATGAAATGATATCAATTCAAGATCTCTAAATAACGAAGGAAAGGACTCTAACCCTGCGGCTTCCCAGGAAGAAACGATGCAACCTCTCCATCGGCCATCATACATCTAGCTCTCTGCAAGTCATCTTCCAGCTGATTCATCCAAACAAGCGGAAAAATGAATCGATCCGACGATTGCAGAACGAAAGATTTCAAATCAAATGCGTTCAAAATTGAGAAAGATGTGCACCTTGTCAGCAAGTTTGGTATCCAAAAGCTCCTTGGAGATAAGCGAATTGAGTAAAGAACGAAGACGGCGAATGGAAGACTCAAGAGAGAGAGCACTTTGGCGGAGGGCCTGTTCGTCGGTGGCTGTTCTAGAGATTAGAGAAGCAGCCGAATCATGCAGCTCCTTCGCTTGCTCCACCACTTTCCCAACTTCATCCTCCACATTCTGCAACGAATCGGTTATGTTCTCGGTCTCCACCATATCTCTCCGCCCTTGAGATGATGGTGAACTCGATCTTTGTTGAGGCTGCAAGTCCCCAATGTTAGAAGAGGACAAGAAGGCGAATCTCGAACACCACCGCTTGAGTAGCCAAGTATAGAGAGATGGGCCTTTCTTCTTCAGACGATTCACGTAACCTTTCTCTTCACTCTCGCGCGCCCACGCTTAATCTCTCCTTTTTTCTCTCTCCATTTTATTCCTTAATGCTTTGTTCTTCCTGTTCTTGTTTTAAACAACCTTTATCAGGTTGATTTAGGTTGGATGGAAGGTAAATAAATTTTGGATCCGTATGATATTTAATAGGTTCGATCATTGGCCATGAGATATTAGAAACTTCCATATTTAATAAGTTAGTTCGTTAGCCAGGGAGATATGACTTGCATCATGAATATATGATATGATATGATTAATAAGATGAGACCTCATACATCTTGTATGTCACATGTATTAAAATATTTCTCTAATGTACACGTACATTACAATACTTAATAGTTCCGACAATGTGAGCGTGCGCTACCTGAATGACAGGTCTAAGGGATACATATACGTTTGTCTAGTGAGCTCATGTGCGCACATGTGGATCATGTGTAGAAAAGTACTACACATTCAATTTTTGTCCAAATTGGAGAATAGAGTTCAAGGTCATGAAATGTTTTTACGAAAAGATAGATCACACCATGTTTGCTTGTGTTTGTATTTCTCAACCCCAATAATATGGTTACTTCATTATTTTTTAAAATACTCAAGTCATGTGCTGCTCTTATATTTCAGGTAAAGATCTGTTTTAACCCGGACAAAACCTAACCCATGATCAACCTTAATAAATTGCGATGCACATTCCATCAAAACCTATCACATATCTTGTTTAGCCTATAAAAGTAGTCGGTCATTGTTCGACTATAGAGGGAGACAAATTATGGTTGAAGTGCAGAAAAATGTTGATAAATTAATCTACTATTCACAGTATATAAGAAGCATGTGAGTGAGAACAAAACATATAGATAATGTGAGAATAGTTTTCCATCTTAAAATCGAGAACTAAATAACGTGATCATGTTGTAAAAAATAAAACCGTGAGGCTGTCATTTGTTGTTCAATTGGGTGGAAGAGTCGCACTTTCGAATGCTATTTCCAACACGGTTGAATGCAGCTCATACTAGTTACTAGACCGTGAAAGAACAAAAACGATAAACAAACACCAAATCCTAGATTCGTTGTTAGACAAATGTGAATATTCGAAGACGAAGAGTTGACGATGATTTTGAGAAACGTTTCGCGAAGCATGAGAATATGTGAGATCTCATATCAATTGGAGAGGGAAACAAAACATTTTTTATAAAGATGTGAAAACCTCTTCCAAGTAGACACATTTTAAAACCATGAGGCTGACAGCGATACGTAACGGGTCAAAGCAGACAATATCTACTAACTGTGGGGCTTGAGTTGTTACAAATAATTGTGAGATCCCGCATCGATTGGAGAGGAGAACGAAACATTGCTTATGAGGGTGTGGAAACCTCTCCCTAGTTGACACGTTTTAAAACCGTAATGTTGACGGCGATACGTAACGGGCTAAAATGGACAATGACTATTAGCGATGAGCTTGAACTGTTATAAATGGTATTAAAGTCAGACACTAGACGGTGTGTCAGTAAGAACGAGTATGTAAGTATGCAAATTCGAGATTATTTCGACGTCTAATCAACAAAAGCGAAGTTTTTATAAAACCCGAACATTATCTATGATTGGAAAAATTCAGGTGGAACAATAGTGTCCCAAATGATTTACAAACAAAGAGGAAGAACAAAGTACACACCTAAGTGGTAAAAAAAAAAAAAGATACGAACTGCTCCAGTAATTTAAAATTTACTATGCTTGTTTCTCTTATTGTCGGGTGGTTTCACCCGTCCAATAAGATTTTACTGCGACAAGAATCTTCTCAGGATTGAATGGTCCAGTTTCATGGTCCATAATTTGGCTCTTCCACTTCATCCCATCTGAAATGGCTTGAACTTTCACCAACACTTCCACTGTATCCCTGAAAATTACTGTCCCTTCAGGCCTCAATATCCTATCCATCTCCAGTAAAATGTAAGTTATATCACACCTGCAATTCACAACAATCCCTTGTTCTTCAATCAAACCCTACAAAACTCATCAAATAACTATGCAAATCTTTTAATTACCTATCTTGATATATGCTGAATATGCCATCGGCATGGATTAGATCGTACGTTCTCGGGTACGTCGAGAAGGCCTCGCACCAATCATGGTACGTTCCGATTAGGCCGCGTTCGTATATTACTCCCAAACTGTCACGGTCTGAATTGGCTGGGACGACGTTCATAACCCACACCGGAAACTTCAACAAAGCTGCTGCAAATCCGCCTAGATTTGCATTCATGTCCATTATGTTTCGGTATCGTCCATGCTCTAACGGGATCATCTTTCCGTAATATGTAATTTTCTCGTTCCATAGTTTGTTATCTTCTTCGAATTTTTCCTTGTTCACGTTTGGTATTGTTCCTCTACTTATTCGAGGTGGTACGACAAATGCGCGGTTCGGCCAATTCTCCACCGCACCACCGGCAACTTCGTTGTCGCCACTTACCTCTGGTAATGGAGTTATGCAGGTCTCCAAGTTTCGATACCTTTATTAGTTTAGGATCGAGGAATGTACGTATAAGATATTCGTTGATCGATCTTGAATGATTAAAAACATGTTTCGGAATGTCTTTTAGGAGTACGTACCAGGCTGAATCGGGATCGTCTGACTTGCAAATGTGGGGTGTTTTGTAGACTTTCTTGTTCTTGATGCATTGGATGTGGTTGAGGGGCTTTTGCCATATTGCAAGATCATTCTTCTCAACCACTTTCTTCCAGCATAGGCTCCTGGCTACTTCTTCAATGGAGTCTTGCTCTTGTTTCAAATCCTCTTGTGTTCTTGCCCAACCTCTCCAATACTTCTTCCAACGAATCGGAGGGCCCGAGAGAATCCAATACCCGCCCGGCCTCAAAACTCGATCGAGCTCAATTAAGTACAACCCATCTGTAAATACTCACTAGTCATCGTATCGATAAATTGTAGAACGTGCTAGTTTCATACTCATTATAGATGGTATCAGAGTTGTTAGATTTGTGGTCTTACCATTATCGGCCCACGGGATGAGACAACGAGAGCAATGAGCCATGTCGAAGGCCCGGGCCGGGTAAGGGAGTCGTTGAGAGGCCAAGACACCGATCATGGCTGGAACGCCACGCTCTAGAGCGAACTGAACTTGAGCTTCATGAGTATCCCTTGGGGCAAAGGACATGGCCAAGATGTCCCTCTTCAGCAAGTAAGCGCCCCAACTTGCTACCTAGAAAAAACACATTTAATAATTGAATCATTTTATTTTGCGATGTAAGAAACAATTTTGAGTAAGAGAAATTCACTTACGCCACAACCCGTATCAATGGCGGTTCGAATCTTCCCTGTAGTAAGAGGAATAAGTTCGTTAATGTCGTCTATATAAGCATTGGCACCGCGGGGGAACATCGTGCCACCGCCGGGAAATCGGAAACGATCGCCTTCAACCTGAATCCAATTCTGCACCGCCTTCTCGATGCTAAGTTCTCTGTGAGGAATGTTATCGTACCATGCATAATCGCGGCTCTGTGGCCATTTGAACGGCGTCTTGTACTTCGGCGGCGCCGGAATCATACAGAGGAGCAATTCTTCCTTGGGAGGACAATGGCGCTCTCTGTATTTCAACATTCTCCGATCGAATTTCCTTGCCCTAGTCGGATCTTGACAGGGAGTGTATTCGCTGAACTTCATATCGCAGGGGGAGATCTTCTTGGTGACCGCTTCAATGGAATTGTTGATTTCGACGCCATGGTGGCTCTCGAAATCGAGCGTATTTGTTGATGAAGAGGATTGGGATGACGGGAATGTTTGATCCGTGCAACCGACTTTGGAATATGCTTCGGATTGGTTGATCGGTGTCGTGGTGTTCTGCCATGCCCCAAAGATGTATGATAAAATGCATAGCCCACTGACGCCGAGAATCCATGTCAACCGCTTCCTTCTCGACTCGATATGGTGATGCTTCGGTGAGCCACTATACTCCTTCGCCATTTTTTTCAACTTTTGATCTTTACAAATTACAAATTCCTATGAAATCATCCAACAAAACCTTGATTGTTAACGAATAAGGATCAAATCAATGGTTGAAACTTGAAGCTATATTATAGATATCATGTTCAATAGCACATATTAGCCACTCTTGGTTCTGGATTTGAGAAATTATGGCGAAAACATGTACTAAATGTTATATTATATTATGTTGACTTGCACATGCACGTATTAGCCACTTTTTGATTCTGGGTTTCTGAGTTCTGATCAATGGGGGGAAGAATTTCAAAGATACCAAGACAAATTACCAAGAAACAAGCCTGCTCCTACGCTCCCTCCTCCCCACAACAGCTGAAACTTCACAACATGAACAAAATGGGGAGAAAAAACAGATACCCAACACTTGGATTCATTAGCTTAGAACAATCCATTACTTAGATTTGAATAAAAGAAGAACGTTCAACCCAGATGAACCATTAGCTACCCTTTTGCTTTACCATTAGCTAGAAGGAAACAGAGGCAAGTTACAAACTGAAAAGGGTTCTGAACCAGGATTCCCCTGCGTGGGCTAGAAGAAGAGCATGTTAGCAAGGGAGCTTCTTTCGTTCACGTTCTATCAACAGCGGAAAGAGAAAGGGAAGGGAAGGTACGAGGAGGGAATGAGGCATATAGATGGAAGGGTAAAGCAAGAGGCTATTAAAAGAGTAAGAACAATTGATAAGTTAAGACAGTGTGAGTGGACGATACAGATTTACAGCTTACCCAAAACGATAAGAAACAGAGGGCGAACCCTGTGATTATATCACAACTTTCCATTAAATTTTTATAAGTTGGAAAGGAGAGAAAAGAGAGACAAAGGGATTTGGTCGTATGGAGTCTGAGGGTTCACAGGAGAGTCAGTAGCCTCAAATTACTCCCAACCTTGCTTTCATTTCATCTTTACATATCACACGTTGCTGCATTTCATTCCATCATCTTCTTCCTCCTACCTCTTTATATCCCCCCCAACTTTTTAGGTTCTTATTCCAAGTTTCCCACCCATGGGATCTTTCCTAAATTATGATTGAACAATCACTGCACTATTTGGAAGGATAGACACGAGCTTCCTCTGTAGCCCATACAGAATTTTTCTACATATTTTTGCTGAAGATAAAAAGGTGAAAACAATTATGAGAACAATAAATATGAAGGGGAAAGAGACGGGGAAAAGGGATGAGGGAAATGAAAGAACAGGGATAGAAGTACAGAAAAGAAATCACGTGAAGATCATATTTTTAATGAGTGGCATGCGTCCCTACGTCTGATCTTCATAATCATCTTATCCTTCCTCTCCCCATTTTTATATATAATTTGATTGTGGTTCACGGCGAGAATCAGGCTCCCACGTCCAAGCATTTACTCTTTGTATCAAGCTCCGGCCCAAGGGCTTAGCAATGTTGGTACAACGTGCTATTGGACACTATTCTTAGGAATAGAACCCCATTTTTAAAGGAAGACATCCAAATACTTATCTTGTATAGCTCCTGCACACTATGGCACATGGGTGGTACGTCTTCGGGCGCTTTAGTTTTGGCCGTCATTATGGCTAATAGCCATACAAGCTCTTTCGGCATGCTTTGTTCTCACTTTCTACTTTTTAAAAAGTCATTCAACATAGAATTATTCCAAGTAAAACACGTTTAATCTTGTAGTTCCTATGTTGGTCTAGTGGTAGGTTGTAATCCAAAGAATTTGTACGGGTTTAAGTCTCAACTAATCCATGTGACATTTGAATAAATGACTATTCTTAGAACTCATTAGACTAACACAAACACAAGGGTGAAGTACACAGCTCCTCATCTCGAATGCTATTCAGTTTTAGAATATTTCTATTCTTCTCGATTGAGAAATATTTTAGATATTTTTATTGAAAATGTTTGTAGGATACAAATGGAGTGAGAGTGAGATCCGTACTTCATACCAATAATGGAGATTACTACCCTAATTAAGTAATACTAATAATAATAATAATAATAATAATAATAATAATAATAATGATGGAGTAATTCCTTGCCTTTATATATATATATATATTATTAAGAAACATGTAAACTTTAACTTCTAGCGGCAATAAATACTCAATTTGAAATTTTGAAAATTGGGTTGGTTTTGACAGGAGTCAATCGACTAATTCGATAATAGAGTTCAACTCTACCCTATTTTTAAGATTACTATGATTACAAATATTTGACGTTTGTAATCGATACAAGTGATACGATGTAGCTTGTAAATGTACGTTAATAGATTTTAGTTATTGATGTAATATGTAATGTGAATAAATAATTTTAAAAAAATAATTAAAAAAAGAACAATCAACCCCCAAACCCAACTCAATTTTATTTGGATTGTTCATGTCACCGACTCAATTTGGTACCAAAGATTTCTCTAATCTAACTCGGACCAAAGATTTCTCCAACCCAACTCAGCCCATGTACACCAATAAGACACTATGTTAGATATATCATCAATATGTCCCATTTAAATGAGATATATTATTATTATATATTATTAGAATCTCGATCAGGTAATTAATGATATATCAAATCATGTATCTCGATTATATATTAAATCATGCATTTCAAATTAATTACATCAATAATATATCACACTAGCTTTACCTAACACATATACTATTGGTATATTAGATATTGTGGTAATTATTTTAAAATTTTATTTCATAATTATTTAAACGATTTAATATAACATGTTCTGTTGTGAGAAGACAAGGGGAACCATGTGGCTCATCTTTTGACCATAATAAAAGCAACCCATCAGGTGTTCAATTATGTCATTGTTGTTTCAAAAATTTCAAAGGCTTTAATTTTGGTTTTGGTATCTGAACTATGAGTTTTGTTTCCATTTTTATCTATTAATATTGAATAAAAAAGTGATTGTTCTAGTCTTTCCCATTAAATTTGATGAATGGATGATATGATCTCTGAGTTGAAATGAATAGGTATTCAAATAGCTCATGGTATAACTAGTCACGTGTTTAACCAACTTGAACAGATCGATATGGGTATATTTTCAGGGTTAGAAGATGATGAATCCAAGAATTTCAAACACGCGTTGTGAAAAACATTAATTTTTCTCGATTTTTTCTATTGTTCTTCCTTAGGTGCACTTAAAAAAGTAGACTGAGAATCATTATTAAGTATATGTCACTCTCGTTTTTAATACTTTGAAAAATATAAACACGATTATTTTAATAAAACAAACTAAATTGAATTTGGGCCTCCGTTTAAAACATTTAGAAATACTTGAGTCGAAAAACAAATTTAAAGCACATACTAAAATGAACGAACATAAATCAGGTCTAACATATCTCAAAACAAGCACAATTCAACACTATTGGAAAAGTTTATAACTGCGTTAGCAAAATAAAAAATCACGAGGACATAGACCCCCATAACATAATTTTCAACCCTCCTTGTTATTCTCTAGCCCGAGCTCAACTTTTATAATTAGGGACTATTAAGATGATCTAAACATATTTTGACGTCGCCCATGCTCTTAGGAATAATGGTAACGTGAAGAAAAATCTTGGAGCTAGAATTTGGTCGGATATTAGTAAGTTGATTTAGTACTTCTGGAATGATGTTTGATCGTGCTATTTGTCCTGATCATGCTTGTGTAGGACGTATTGTCTATGGTCGCATGCCCGTCTCAAACCCCTTTTACATGCTTTCATGTTATATAAATTTTCACTATTTCATATTGTGTCAATATAGGGTGTGTGACCATTCATGTGAGATCCCACATCCGTTAGGGAGGAGAACGAAACATTCTTTATAAAATCGGGGTCCAGGGTAAATCTATTATCTTTCTGTTACTGGTGTTCTTAATTTCATTCTAAAAATTACATTTTTACAGAAACTCATCAATCCCATCATTGTTCTTAATTCACAATGATGTTTGGAGTCATTCTAAAGTTGGTCGCTCATAAAAAACGATAATATCGGGATAATCATATATATCCAGATCATCTAAATGGAGATAAGTACGAAGATTAGCCGTTTTTGAGTCAAATAAGAAGACATTTAAGTTTAAGAGAAAGTTCCAAAAACATTTGAAAACGTTTAGGAATTGTTGTTTACAAGACGAAGAATGAAAACTGTGGACGCAATAATTGTGCCCCACTCCTTAAGGCACACAGATTGTTGAGCTCAAACACACTGCTTCAATACGTCACACGTTGCCCCCTTTGTCAGTCCTTCCGTGGCGCCTCAAGAACGCTCAACGTTGCCCAAACCCTTCCAAATTTTTACTCACTTCAATTCATTCATTTCATAAGAAACTAAAATTTCACGCATTTTTAATTTTAATTTATAAACTTTGCCACTTGAAGTGTTTGAAAAATTCCAGAGGGAAGTAATTGTAATTATAAAATTACAGAAACCGGGAGAAATTCCGGTATTTATAATATAAACTCAGGGGTCGCCGCCGTGCGCGGCGGACGACGGTGACGGAGGGAGGTAGCTACAGCGGCAAGTCGGACAAGAAGAATGCAAAATCAGCCACGTTTGAATACACTGAACATGAAATCCGTGCTTACAAATCGCCAATACACGAATCTCTTCCCCTTCCGAGAATTCCGTCAAACAAATCGTACACTCCGCCTCCGCACCGGCGAGTTTCGGCTTCATTTCCTCCGAGAACACCAACGCCGGAGCCATCTTCAATTTGTCCACTAACGTCGGCTTCGTCTCATCACGAAGCTCCTCCTGCCGGGTATCACTTGGGTTTTCATCGGCGTCTCCGCGGCGGCGGAGAAAGCAGCGAATGGCGGTGTTGAGAGCTAGAGAGCAGATGAGGCCGCAGAGAAGGATGATGACTACGACAGCAGCGTTGGCTTCGAAGTCTCTGGAATTGGAGTACGGCCGCCATGTACAAGCGCGTAGATCGTGGCACGGTGGCGGTGGTGATGGTGGCCGGTAGCTGACGGTGTCGTCGGCGTCTAAAGGAGTCGGCCGCATTCTCTCTCTCTCTAGTTCTTGTGTAAGAAAGGAATTCAGTGAATTGCAGAAGATGAAAGACACTATATAATAAATGTGTGGTTTGGATTTCCTTATTTAGCTGCTCTCATTCTTTCTTACGTGGCACATTAATTAAGCTCATTTTTATGCTAATAATTATTTAATTAATACACTTAGATTCATTAAACTCATTCAAATTATACTTAAATACAAACTCTCCATCAACAAATTAATTTGAATATTTAATTTATTGGTATACTCTACACATAAATAATAATAATAACAACGGCGACAAATAAATGTACTATTTTGTCACTAATTTATTAACATCGATCAGCAATCATAGTCACCTCATGCAAGTAGGAAATTAATGGGCTAAAACTAATTTCTTGAAAGTGACGTAGAGATCGGAATGTAAAATATATCTAAATTTATAATATTCATAATTTTATTTTTAATCGAGATTAAATTTTTTAAAATGTGTATTGTTACATAGACGTTTCCACACTCTTATCAACAATGATCGGTTCCTCTCTATTAATGTGACATTTCACAATCCACCATTTTTAGAGTCAAGCATCTTCATTGGTACACCACTACTCAGTGCCTACCTTTGATACCATTTGTAACATTTTAAATTCACTGCTATGTTACGTGTTGATGACAGTCATGATTTTAAAACGCGTAGAGATTTCTCGATCGATGTGGGATCTAACAGAACGTCTAGTTTCAAAATCGTAACAAAATCATTATTTGGATTAGTGAGTCGGCTGACATAATGTTCATTTTCTTAACGTTAGAAGTTCGATCTCGGGTCGGGAAAAAAAAATTCAAATAAGCACCATCCCCCACCCCCTTAATTAACCTTCTTCCCCTGGTGGATGGAAAGTGAATAACAATAAATTGGACATAATTCAGTACTCGACAAGCTGCCCTTTTTCTTAGGGTAAAACAAAATCGCCGATTTTCCCCTCTTCATTCACACTATTGCATCCCCCCTAATATTAAAAACAAAAAAAAAAAAAAAAAAAAAAAATTAA